CCTTATAGAACCATGTGCTTATTTTATAAATAACAAAGCAATATTATATGATGGTGATTATGCAATTTATAAGGAAACAGGTTTAAATATTAACTGGAATGAGTTGTATTCGATGTGAAGAAAATGCATTTGTAGATTTAGTGACTAAAAAAAGGGTTGTGACATATTTGATAAGAAATTCTTTGTCTCTCCGTGTTTATATTACAATGAGCTGTGTTTGTGTGTACAACATAGAAATATACATATATGGAGAGAGTGAGAGAAGGAAATTAAGATTGTTTGGAATTTTCAGTCCTGCTTGACAAAGTAGAGATGATTCAAGCATATGAAATTATTTTATGTCACTTCTGATTAAAGGCAATCACTTCGGATTTTATGCTGTGGATTCAAACTGTTTTTGGGTCTCAGGGATTTGGAAAATAAAAGGTGCTTTTTTCTTGTGAATGAATTTCCTTACAATTGGTTATTTTGATTGAGAAAAATTCTCAGTCTAGAAATAAAAAATGAGGGGGGCACCCTAACTTTCCGAGTTTTTGCACATGCCTCAGAAAACTGTCCCACCCACTGAATCTTACGGATGACTCAACCTGTTTGGCACAGCTTTAGTGGTAATCATCAACTTATTGTCCTTGTTACCACCAAGATCAAGCAAAGAGCACATTACATATTGCGATGCACCAGCACCACCCAGTGGCCTCAAACTAATTCAACAGCTCTTCTTTGGAATTAGGAACCCAAAGTCTCGGGCCTCTCTAGATGACATATTACATTATGCATGCATGAAAGCACCAGGATTCAGCTTTTGTAGAATTGAATCTGTTGCAGGCAATTTTGATCTTATCTTATTATCCTATTTTCTGGAAATATCAGACTATTTATAGGGCAAGGAAATGGAGTTTGGTGTATGTTAAGGACTTTTGGCTCTTTTTGGCATATCTGCAGCAATGCATATATTTTTAAGCAGGGAGCTAACACACTGTTTTTGAAAGTTAAGTAGTAGTTTATGAAAGCTACAGAAACATTATCTCAAAATAAGTGCCACAGATTATTCCTTTTACCAGGAGTGTAGAAAGTCTTAGGAGTTCAAGGAGAACTTAGTTTCTGTATAAGCTCAACATGCCTTTCTATACCACTTCCTAGATGACAAAGATTCTTTCCTCCCAGTAGGGAATGGTATTTATTTTTCTAGATGTATAGCAAACAAACCTGGTAAAACTGCTGGTAAATTTTTTGTCCCTTGTATCTGCTGATTACTATACGCATTATTAAAAAAAAAAACTTGCTGTCTGGGTTGGATTTGAAAAATGCAGAGAAGTAGAAATTAATAGCAAAGGAAAAATATATGTGTAGTCCCCTACTAAATACAATCACTGCTGCTGTTATTATTTTGTATGCCTCTCTACTGAGCAAACTCTGCAGCCAGGTTTGCCTTTTTAAAATCTCAACTGAACCATTTGGTGGCTGTGAATTGGACAAGTTACTCAGCCGCCTTGGAGCTCTGATCTCCTCATCTCCAGGATGGGGATAATTAATACTATGCTCCATAGGGTTGTTATGAGGATTAAACAAATTAATATATGCTGAGTTTTATGAACAGTGCCTGAATATTGTTAACACCATGTGTTAACTATTACTTTTCTATTCCTTTATTTCTTACAATTCCTTCTTATAGTTATTAGATACTATGCACCAGGCATTCTGATATAAACTATTATTTTTGTTTGTGCTTCCAGCTTTTTTAGTTTCTTTCTCTTTTATTAGCTGAAACTGTACTATAATTTTGTATCTTTTAAAATTATATTGTAATATTTATTCATTAGTGCAGTTTTCTTAGTGATTGGTAAATATTAGTCTTACAATTTAGCATATATGTGGGTTTTTATTAATGTGCAAAATGAAAAGAAACATTGAAATAAATTAAACATAAAGGTTTGCCTTTTTCTAAAAGCAAAAGAATATAACATGATATACTTTGGAATTTTAAATTGCTGATTTTCATTTTGGTTAGTATACACACTTCAATATTTTTTCTCTCAAGTACCACCTATACATCCATGCACAGGGGACATGGTGCTCAGTGTTGGTGATGTAACAGTGAAATGCTGAAGTCTGAGATATGTCAAAATGATGCAGAGGGGACACTGGGAAGAGCAACTAACTCTGACTGAGTAAGCTGAAACTTGAGCTGTTATTGAAGGATAAATAGGACTTTTCTGGAAAGGAAGGTGTGGAATAAAGTATTCTGGGCAGAAGCATCAGGAATGAGTAATATTCCACGTTGTAAATTATCCATAAAACATTGTAATATCATTCATAAAGTGTGGTGTGTGGTGTGTGCTGCGGAGCGAGACAGGATGGAAGATCAGACTGACAATGCCGCTTGGGCTCAGAAAAACTCAAATGGATAATTTATCCAGTAGAGATAAGTAGTAATAAGTAGAAGAAAAAGTGCTGCTGCAGAAGGAAGGAAGGGTTATAAATGTAGGGACGGTTTATCATGTCTAGTGAAGGAAATGCGAGATAGAACTGAAAACAAGTCAGGGCCAGTTGTGTGATTTTAGCCATCACTGACCTTAGCCAAAAGCAGTTTGAGGCCAAGAAGTGTGAATGGGGAGAAAACAATATGGGACAGTGACAACAAACTCCTCTTGGAATAAGTCTGTTGGGAAAAGGCAGTAAATAAGAACAGAAGTTAGAAAGCCAACTACGGTGATAAAGGATTTCATGATGGAGCTTTAAGAATTTCTGGAGAGCAAGAAGTCTGATTGGTAGTTTATTAACATGGCTCATGTTATTTACTTCATCCACTGGTCTGAAATTAAGATTTAAAAACTAAATATATTCATATATATATATATGAATAGAGTCCGATAAGGTATTTATATACTATTTCTCAATATCCTAGACTGGAATGCAAAACTTTCATTTTAGTTTGAAGATGTGTGAGAATCATAACTTGGACTTGGTTCAAAGTTTTTATTTTGATTTACCACAAAGCAGTTAATAAGCAGTGCTAAGGATTTAAATAAGATATGGATTCAGGTGTGTGAGTTCAGCTGCCCACACTTCCTGTTCATTTATCACAAAAATTTTGGTGGTCTCAGCAGCTCTAGTAACTGAAATGTCAGAAAAGCACAGTACAGAGGGCTTCTCTACCCTCACCTTTAGAAGAAAAACGCCAGATTGTGTCAGCATCTAGTAATAACATATTTAAGGTGAACATTTTTTTCCCCCAGAAAGCAGAATTTAGTGGGCAAACATTAAATGTACACCCAAGTAATTACAATATAATGTAGAAATACCAATGGCTATAGAATAGAGTCAGATGAAGTACCATGAGCTTTTAAAGTCTCAGAAATGCTTACTATGAGAAACACACAGAGGAAAGTACTGCATCTTAGACCTCTCCTCCTTAGGAGTCCCTAGTAATTGCATGAAATCCCATAGCCATTAGACTTAACTCTGAGCTTTTGTTTCATTCACCACTCTTCCTAATGCTTCTCCAAAATGCTGCTTTTATTGGATTTCTCTTTGGCTTTGCTAGAAGATACACCAAAGTAATTTTAAAACAAGATACTTAAATAACAAGACTTATGTCCTTGGCTTTGAAACTCTGGCTGCCTGCTCTGGGGCAGTTTTGCCTTACACTTACGTTCACCTAGACATGGCAAGACTTGGCAGGCCTACAACATATGAGGCAAGGTAAAAGATACAAGGTGAGCAAGGCTTCTTCCCCTCACTCTTGCTGGTCCTAGTACAATACAGAGACATACATAATAAAAGAAACACACACATACACACATACATGAAACACAAACAAAAAGAGAAAAGGGGGAAAAAGTCATGCAGAGGCTCCCATCCATGCAGCACAGGTATAAAGAGCAAACCATTAATATTCCTTTCCCGTTCATGAATGCCTGTATTTTTTAAAAAGGCAAAGCAAGTTTAAGAGATGTTTTCAACCCAACAGCCTCATCAATTCGGCTAATTCTCGACTTCTTTTGCTATGAACATCCACACAAAAACACATTTCCAGTGGCAAGGGCTGTTGTCTTCAGGGAATCTTATCAGAACGAACCCAGATAAAACCTCAAGATTAGCTACACTCATGAAAGTTTTACTCAGGGTGACTTTTTGACTTTTCTAAGAGGTAACATTAGAATGGACATTTCATACCTAATATGCAGGGCAGAGCAACATGAAGACTTTATTTAGACTGCTTATAATATTCCATGAGGATTTGAGATTTTTGCTGCATCCATAAATGTGAAAAAAAAATTAGTAAATCTCTGAAATACTGCTTATATCTACAGAGAGATAAACACATTTAAAAAAAAAACTAGTCAAATGTCACTTGATATTTTCAGCATATTTCAGTAAATCCTGAAACCACTATATGATCTTCTGATTTCAAATTTGTTGTTTCAATTCCTTAATGTTCTGTGAACTTTGAGGAGGTTGAAAGATTACCGTAGTACATTTTCTTCATCTTTTGAAAGACATTTTATCAGATTCTCTCATTATCTCAATATGCTTGTCTTTTAGAATAGATAGTAGATATAAATATTGATGAAAAACAATTAAGCTCATCAACAGGGAAATTATTTGGGTGCCTCTGAAGTCTGGTACCTCACATAAATTTATGTTTCAGGCAAAAAAGTGATGAAAAATTTTTTCCTGATCTTATAGGTTTATGACCTGGAAAAAAAGTTTGAATCTAATTTTACCTATGCTAGGCTTAGAATATTGCTACAAGTCAGTGGTTCCAGGGTTTTATTCCTATGTGGACATGAAGCAAAACTACAGGTTAGATATAATCAACTGGCACATTTGTTAGGCAACAGCACTAACTCCCAAATACTTGGAAAAACTCAGTAGTACTTGAGCATGAAAGTATTTTCTGTATTTTTCAAGGAACTGTATGTTTTTTACTTTTAATTAACATGAAACAAATTTTAGTATTTGTAGTGTTTATAATAATTATAAACATTTCTTCAGTTTCTTACACTTATGGTCTTTTAATTTCAATATTAACATAGCCATTATATCTATGTATATATATCTATTTACAACGTTAGCTATTATTTTTGGTAACTTTGGTCTGATTAGTTGGAGATGAGGTCCTAACCAACTGATGGTGACAGGACAGTAGGACTAGGTCCTCATAAAATGTTTGATTCATTTTTGATAATGAGTCTGAAAATGCTTGGTTTTAATCACAAATTTGAAAATGACAATGAGAAATGGAATTCCTGAGGCTATCTTAAACTACATAAAAATTACCAGTGACAGAGAAAAAAGGTTTATATTACATTTAATCGTGTTAATTCTGAAGATGTTTCAAACTTCCATGAAGGATAGTGAAATGTTCAATGTAGAAACCAGTATGAACTTTGGTAAACTTGTTAACAGACGATATGTTCTAAGGAATGTTCTGAACATTATTTTCATTAGAAAAGAAGATAATTTTCAAAGTTGTTTGAGGTGTTGTAATACATCTACTGATACTCCCAGCTGTTTTACTAAACTTTCTGTCTGTTCTAAAATCCAAGTGAGGGTTGGGTTTACAGAATGTGCATGCTTTTGTGTTCCACAACATTCTAAAGATGAACAATCTACCCCACCAGGACTCTTGCTACAGTTTTTGTTAAACTCAGCATTATTTTCACAGAGTCTTTCATCTTTAGCTTCATCAATCTTTTTCTCAGCTGGAACTACATGACAAAGGTCCATATTCTGAATAGAGTCCAATAAATCTACAGCATGGGACTGAGGGGTGATTGATTTCAGATGTTTGAGCACATACTCTTCGCACTGGTCAACTGCATCCAGAAGATTATTTATTTTACTGATCAAAGCTGAACTATTATTGTGAAGGTGACACCAGGAGAGCAAAGCACTGAATGAAAATATAAACAAGAGTTAAACAGGAAAAAAGTTAAAACAATCATAGGCTTTTAAAATTTTTCATGCCAAACCCTACATGTTTCTTTTCTAGATAACACCATGCAAATCAAATTGATAATAATAATGCAAGTCAAAATCAGAAAAGTAATAATGGTAAATAGGATTAAAAATATAAGGATATTACCTTTCAACAGAAATTAAACAATTAGGCTTAATCATATAAACTGTCCCTAATTCATAACCCTTCCTTCACAGCTCCACATCCACTTTTCCTCATTTTAGATTTTCCCCTATGGCCGTGGAGCTTCTGAGGGATACAATTCAGAGAAAGAGAGACTAGAAAAATTAGTTTCTCTTTTAAGGACAGCAAACAGCTTTTGAACTAGTGATTCTTAAACTTGGATGCACATTAAAACCACCTAGGGAGCTCTTAAAACTATCAAGGTCTAGGTCATACCCCAGAATAATTAAGTCAGAATCCCTAAGGGCATTATTTTTTTAAAGCTGCCCAGCTGATATCAAGGTGCAGCCAAGGTTGAAAATCATCTTTCTAATCATATACAGCAATTGCTTGCTATAAAACTGAAGATTAAGTAAAAAAAGGTTTTAGGCAACTTCACATTCCCACCTTTGTTATAAGTAGACACTTTGCTGAAGCTAACTACCAATTTTCTTGAAGAAGATAATTTTCTTCTAGTCCTAATAAATATTTTTCTTTACTACTCTAGTACAGATAGTACTTTTGTTTTCTGACATTTCAGATTGTTCAGATAATCCTGACATAAAATGATTGTTGTGAAACATAATGATGTTTTGCCCTGGCTGGTTGGTTCCACTGGTTGGTGTGTCATCCTGTATACCAAAAGGTTTGTGGGTTCGATTACCAATCACAGTACATACCTAGGTTGTGGGTTCTATCCCTGTTGGGGTGCTTACTGAAGGTGACTGATTAATGTTTCTCTCTCACATCAATGTTTTACTCTCTCTTTCCCCCTTCTTAGCTCGCTAAAAACATCAATAAACATATCCTTGGGTGAGGGTTAAAAAAAAAGAAATGATGTTTTAAAAATGGAATTGACTGATATAAAAGATTTAGCAATAAGCTTTCTAAACTTATAAAAGATTAATTTAACTTGATGTGAAGATGAACATGATCATTTTCCTATGGTAGTAGACTACAAATTCTGATTCCTGAGCATTGACCTTTTATAAAAACTTTTGTTTCTAAAACAAACAAAAAAAAAAGAACAAACCAAGATTTTTTTGGTTTTGGTAACTTTTATTTTCTACTCTTTAAAAAAGTCAGTGATTCTTTGCATAATTTTCTCTATATAGGGCAGTTTAAAAGATATAGAGTATTAAAGAGCACAACCTCGTCATGCTCCTAGCTTCATGTGCCATTTGACCACTTGGCTCTGAAACATGCTATGGAATCTTAAGAGGTATTCAATGTTCAGGACTCAAGTAAATGAGATCATTTTTCTCTCTATTACCAGTTATAACTTTCATCCTGTACTTCTAGTCTAGAACTGTTATACTGTGTTCTGCCACATGTGCAAGACTAAAAGCTTTATTCCAACCCTGATAAATCAGGCAGCAAAAACAAACAAACCAACCAAACCCCAAACATCTTTCTATCTTTTCTTTGCCATAAAGGACACCTGGTTCACATATTAAGTGAATAGACTGATGATCTTGACTTTTTGAAGGCACTATTATTCTTCTAATGATTTGCAGCATTCTTGTGGATTTAACAGTAGGAAAAGCATTAAACACTTTATTTTTACATACTACTTTTATGAAAGTCCTCTAGTAGTACTGAGGTTAAAATGACTCAACATTTAGATTTTAAAAATTACCTCAAAGTTCCTCTGAGTTGTCCATAGTTTATAATGACATCGGCACCTTCTTTATAACCTTGATTGAAGCCTTGTTGAAGAGTAACTGCTTTGCCAGCCTCTAGTCCATCTCTATAGCCTTCCTAAAAATAAGTAATGAACAACTGCAGCTATAAACTAATATCAAGTGGATCATTGTTGGTTTTTCTAGAAAGTCATAAAACTAATTTAGAAAATCAATTAAAACAAGCCTTTCCTGTGTTATTTAACATAACGGTTCTAAAACAAATGGCGTAGTCACACAAAGTAGACTATAATTCTCCTAAAAACGTATTACTGGTTTATCCCATTGAAGGTTCTATGTTAGCAATGGCTTCACAGAAAGGATACATGGAGAATCACATGTGTGGCTCTTCGCAACTGGTTGGATTGGTGTGAGGAGGCAAGGTAGTAAGTAGGGTTATAAAAGGTCTTGGACAATTAACTGAAATAGGGAAAGAGGAAATTGTTTTTAGCAGAAGGAAAATAAGAAATCTGGCTTTAGAAATTTTGCTTCATACCTAAATTCAACTAAACTGCAAATTCAGTGTGGGCGAATATTTTTTTTGTCTTGCATCTCCTTTGGTGCCACAATGCTGAAAAGATGCTCAATCAGAAGGTACCCCCAGCCATACATAAAGCATTTCTGAAACTGACAACATGGTTGTGAGCTAAGCAGTTATTTTACTGAAACATTAAACAAAAGCAGATTTAGGGCAATTTAATCGTTGGCAAGGATATTAAGTGAAAGTGGATCTCACCATTTGGCCCTGAACTAAGCTTTGAGTGCTCCACCTGGAAATTTGGTGTGTGGTATTAAGCTTAATCTCAACGAAGAGTGAAACAAATTAGAGATGGATAAAGCACACCTAACAAAAACGAAACCAACTTTAACACTTCCTTACCTTAGCTACCAGTATTCCATATGAGCTTTCCCTTATTGCCCTTTGACAACATTTCTACATTCACTTCTTCCACATATATTGATTACTACCACCCCTAACTTTAGGCTTCTCACACATTCAAGCAACCCCGTAAACTGTGAACACGTCCTCTGACAGCCATAACTAGCGTAGTGAATACACATATTCCACCCCCGCCAACCGTCTTCCCTACGATCCTCACCAAACTGCAATCTCTTTAAAGTTTATACAATTTACTTTGGTGGGACTCCGCGTCTATCCCACTCCGCCCACGCTCGAGAAATGCACCTGGTGATTTCACCGGCTTTAAGTAATCCTCCGCGTACCCTTAGCAGGATGCAGGCCCTGTTGGGCGGCAACGCGGGGGAAGGCAGCGCGGGCGAAGGCAGGGACCGCTCTGGCCTCTATCAGCGGCCCATCTTCTCAACTCCGCGCCTCTCTTCCCACAACCCAGCATATCAAGGGACCACCCCTCTCCGCGCCCTCCGCGCAGCTTTACTTTGACCCGTCTCTGCATGTGGCTCTGCCATTCCCGCTGCATCAGGAGCAACTCGTCCGCTTCCTCGTCAAACACTTCCCCCTCCCTTCCACTGCCCAAGACCGAAGGAGCTGCTCGAACCCACGACATCACTGAAGAAATCACAAGGCCGCTGAGCGCTGGAAGTTCCCAGGACTCCTTCCGGTTTGAGAGTGGGGGGGCGGGGTCTGATGTCTGAGAGTGCGTGTTCGCTGGACGGCTGCGCTTGCGCGTGGGTCGTGCGTGGTGTAGGTGGTGGGGACTGTCTCCGGTGTGTCCTGGCTGCTGGTACCGCTGTTTGCTCTCTGGTATTTTCTGGCTTATCAATTTAGGAAATGTTTAAACTGATAGAGAATTTTTATTAGATTATTTGAGCCAAACTGAGGGCAATTGCTGGGAACCAAAATCTCAACAGACTGAGAAAATGCTTCAGAAATGGCAGTTTTGCACCGACCTGTATTTTGCTGTGTATGTGCTCTCGTGTATAATGCGCACCCAAATTTTGGCCCAAACATTCATGGAAAAAAAAATCTTTCATTTAAATTTTTAATTCAGTTTTTATTTATATTTAGATACTTGTTTTGCATACAGATATCGTTACTGCTTTCTAGAGTTACACTTTTAACACATAAGCATAAATTAAAGAATTTAAAAATTTTATGTAGCTATGGAATTAGTACTACCCACGTATAGTGTGCATCCTTATTTTAGCCTAAAAAATAGGGGGAAAGTGCGCATTATACATGGCAAAATGTGGTGTTTTATAAATGGCAATCAAAGGAGGAGGCTTAAGGGGTTACACGAAATCCATGGTGATAGGAAGGTGGGAGAACGCAAAGCCGGGAAATCATTGGAATTGAGTAAAAAAGTAAAACGAATAGACACATAGTTTTCTTTCTTTTAAAGTCTTTTTAAAATTTAATCTTTATTGCATTTTTTTCCCATTACCATTTAGTTCCCTTTTGCCCCTCTCCCGGCAGCAATCACTGCATTGTTGTCCATGTCCATGAGTCTTTTTTTTCTTTTTGCTCAATCCCTCCACGACCCTAACCTCCTCCCCCCACTAGCTGTCATCTGCTCTCCATCTGTGAGTCTGTCTCTGTTTTGCTTGTTAGTTCAGTTTGCTCATTAGATTCCACATATGAGTGATATCATACCGTATTTGTTTTTCTCTGACTGGCTTATTTCACTTAGCATATGTTCTCTAGGTCCATCCATCCTGTCCCAAAGGGTAAAATTTTCTTCTCTTTTAAGGCTAAGTAGAATTCCAATGTGTGAATATCCTATAGTTGTTTTATCCACACATCTACTGATGGACTCTTGTGCTGCTTCCATGTCTTAGCAATTGTAAATAGAGCTGCAGTGAGCATAAGGATGCTTATGTTCTTTTGAATTAGTGCTTTGATTCCTTTGGATAGATTCTCAGAAGTGGGATCACTGAGTCAAAAGGCAGATCCATTTTTAATTTTTTGAGATAACTCCATATTGCTTTCCACAGTGATGGCACCAATCTGCATTCCTACCGACAATGCTAAAGGGTTCCCCTTTCTCCGCATCATTGCCAGGACATGTTATCTGTTGATTTATTGATGATAGCCATTCTGACAGGTGTGAGATGGTATCTCATTTTGGTTTTAATTTGCATTTCTCTGATGATTAGTGATGTTGAGTATCTTTTCATATGCCTATTGGCTATCTGTATGTCCTTTCTGGAGAAGTGTCTGTTCAAGTCCTTTGCCCATTTTTAAATTAGGGTGTTTTTCCTTTTCGGTGTTGAATTTTATAAGTACTTCATAAACTTTGGATATTAAACCCTTATCAGATGTATCAGTGAATATGTTCCCCCATTTCATGGGTTGTCTTTATTTTGTTGATGGTTTCTTTTTCTGTGCAAAATCTTTTTAGTTTGATATAGTCCCATTTGTTTATTTTTTCTTTTGTTTCCCTTGCCTGGGGAGATATATCTGCTAAAACATTGCTATGATCAATGTCTGAGATTTTGCTGCCTGTGTTTTCTTTAGGGTTCTTCTGGCTTCGGGTCTAACATTTAAGTCTTTGATCCATTTTGAATTTATTCTTGTGTGTGATGTAGGAAGGTGGTCTAGTTTCATTTTTCTGCAAGTATGTGTTCAATTTTCTCAAAACCATTTATTGAATAAACTTTCTTTAGCCCATTGAATGTGCTTGTTTCCTCTGTTGGATATTAATTGACTATAAAGATGTGGATTTATTTCTGGGCTCTCTATTCTGTTCCATTGATCTATGTGTCTGTTTTTTATACCAATACCATGCTGTTTTGATTACTTTGGACTTGTAGTATAGTTTGATATTAGGTAGCATGATTCCTCCAATTCTGTTCTATCTCAGGATCACTGTTGCTATTTGGGACCTTTTGTGGCTCTATATAAATTTTTGAAATATTTGTTTTAGATCTGTCATTGGATCTAGGAATTGTGTTGAATCTATAGATTGCTTTGAGAAGTATGGCCATTTTAATTCTTCCTGTCCATGAACAGGGTATGTGATTCCGCTTATTTGTGTCTTCTTCAATTTCTTTCTTCAGTGTCTTATAATTTTCCATGTACAGGTTTTTATATCCTTGGTTAGGTTTATTCCTAGGTATTCTATTCTTTTTGAAGCAATTGTGAATGGGATTTTCTTAACTTCTCCTTCTGTTAGTTTGTTATTGGCATATAAAAATGCAACTGATTTCTGGATATTAATTTTATATCCTGCTACTTTGCTGAATTCACTTATTAGTTCTAGAAGTTTCTTTGTGGAATCTTTGGGGTTCTCATGTCATCTGCAAATAAAGACAGTTTTACTTCTTCTTTTCTAATTTAGATGCCTTTTATTTCTTCTTGTCTTATTGCTTTGGCTAGAACTTCCAGTATTATATAGAATAAGAGAGGTGAAAATGGACATCCCTGTCTTGTTCCCAATCTTAGGGGGATTTCATGTAGTTTTTTCCCACTGAGTTGATGCTGGCAGTGGGTTAGTCATATATGGCCTTTATTATGTTCAGGTATGTTCTCTCTATTCCCACGTTGCTGAGAGTTTTTATCATAAATTGGTGCTGGATTTTAGCAAACACTTTTTTGCATGTATTGATATGATCATATTGTTTGTATCCTTTATTTTTTTATGTGATGAATCAAATTTATTGATTTGTGAATGTTGTACCAACCTTGCATTCCCAGAATAAACCCCACTTGATCATGGTGTATGATCTTTTTGATGCATTGCTGTATTCAGTTTGCTAATATTTTGTTTAGGATTTTAGCATCTATGTTTATCAGATACTGGCCTGTCATTTTCTTTCTTTGTAGTGTCTTAATCTGGTTTTGGAATTAGGATAATGCGGGCATCGTAAAGTGAATTTGGGAGCTTTCCTTCCTTTTGAATTTTAAGAAATAGTTTGAGAAGGAGAGGTGTTAGTTCTTCTTGGAATGTTTGATAAAATTTACTTGTGAAGTCATCCAATCCAGAGCTTTTGTTTGTTGGGAGTTTTTTGATTACTGCTTCAGTTTCACTAGTCGTAGTCTGTCTGTCCAAATTCTCTGATTATTCCTGAGTTATTTTTGGAAGATCATGTGTTTCTAGCAATTTCTCCATTTTGTCCACCTTGTCCAGTTTGTTGGCACATAGTTGTTCATAACATTTTCTTACAATCCTTTGTATTTCTTTGGTGTCAGTTGTTATTTCTCCTCTTTCATTTCTGATTTTATTTGTGTCCTTTCTCTTTTTTTTCTTGATGAGTCTTATTATAGGTTTGTCAGTCTTATCTTTTCCAAGAACCAGCTCTTGGATTCATTGATCTTTTGTATCATTTTTTTAGACTCTATTTTGTTTATTTCTGCTCTGATCTATATTATTTCCTTCCTTCTGCTCACTTTGGACTTTGTTGTTATTTTCCAAATTCCTTTAATCACAAAGTTAGATAGTTTATTTGAGCTTGTTCTGGTTATTTGAGATAGGCCTGCAATGCTATGAATTTCCTTCTTACGATTGCTTTCCCAGTGTGCCACAGTTTTTTGAATTGTTATGGTTTCTGGATTTTTCATTTTTATTTATTTCCAGGTATCTTTTGATTTTTTCCTTCATCTCATTGTTGACCCATTCATTGTTTAATAACATGTTTTTTAGCTTCTACGTCTTTGCGTGTTTTTTAGTGTTCTTTTTGTGACTGATATCTAGTTTCATAGCATTGTAGTCAGAGAAGATGCTTGAGATGATTTTAATCTTCTTAAATTTATTGAGACTTGTTTTGTGTCCTAACATTTGGCCTATCCTAGAAAATTTTCCATGTGCACTTGAAAAGTGCGTATATTCTGCTATCTTGGGGTGAAATGCTCTGAAGATATCAGTTAAGTCCGTTTGATCTCGTGTGTCATTTAAGGCCACTCTTTTCTTGTTGATTTTCTGCCTGGAAGGTCTATCCATTGAAGTCAAAGGGGTGTTAACATCCCCAACTATGACTGTATTTCTTTTTATCTCCTTTTTGATGTCCACCAAGATTTGCTTTACATATTTAGCTGTTCCTATGTTGGGTACAGATATGTTTACTAGAGTTATATCCTCTTTTGGATTGTTCCCTTTACCATTATGTAGTGTCCTTCTTTGTCTCTTTCTATGGCCTTGGTTTTAAAGTCTATTATTTCATTGGATATAAATATTGCTACTCTAGCTTTTTTTTCTTTTCCATTTGCATGAAATATCTTTTCTATACCTTTACTTTTAGTCTGTGTGTATCTTTTGATCTGAGATTGGTCTTTTGGAAGCAGTATATATGGGTCTTGTTTTCTTATCCATTCAGCTACGCTATGTCTTTTTGTTAAGAGTATTTAAGTCATTTACATTAAAGTTTTTTTAAAAATTTTTAAATCATCTTTAGTCTATTACAATTGTGTAAATTTCTCTCCCTTTGCCCTTCTCCACCCATCCCAGCCCGCCCCCCTCCCACACTCAATTCCCACTCTGTTGTCCATGTCCATGGGTCATTCATACATGTTCTTTGTTTAATCCCTTCTCCTTCTTTCCACTATTGTCCTCCTTCCCCATCCCCTCTGGTCACTTTCAGTCTGCTCCATGTTTCCTTGCCTGTAGCTTATTTTGTTTGTTAGTTTATTTTGTTGAATAAGTTCCACTTATAGGTGAGAGTATATGGTA